GACACACACACACACACACACACACACACACACACACACACACACACACACACACACATGTACGTGCACTTGCGCGCGGAAATTCAACGATGCATGTACGCGAACTCTCTCCGGTGGCCCCCCACAGTGGTCGATCGCCTTCCAAAGAAATTACCGTACTCCCCTACACCGACGATGCCCTTAAGGGCCCGTCCCTAACTACCATTGGCGGCAACTTATCCCCTACCTTCATACCGCACCCCACTATCCGACATATAAAACGCGTATCTGACCGCGTAGCGCACAGTTCGATGCTGTCCGCGTCCGAGTCTAGTTGAGACGGTTTTGGTCGGTCGAATGTGTTAATCCATTTATACTAAAAAAAAAAGAAAAAAAACGACTGACGATATAGTTAATTAAATCGTCGAAATGGAAATGACCTATACGCGATTATTTCAAAACTATAATTCCAAGTATCGTAATGTGAGCGAGAAAAGGTACGTTTGCGTGTTGTGCATAAACGCGTTTTAAACAGTGCAGTGTATTGTCGAGATTCTGTGAAACATTCCAATTAACTGACGCAAATTGCTTTTCATGATAGACACGAATCGATATTAATCTACTTGTACCATTTATTCTTGTTTAGCATTTGGCAAGTAGCAAAGATAAATGATATAATTAAATTCTCATATAGCACAAATTTTGCTGCAATTAAACTGCAAATATGGAACTGTTATATGGATTTGTATCAATTTGTATCTTTTGCTGAAAAGTATTCGACATATCTAGATTTATGTCAACCTGTGTCTGTTGGTGGAAAGCAAATACATATACGAATTGAAGTTAATATTTTTTGGTCATACGGATTGTGGATTGATTATTTTCGATCGGGCTGATTGTCTGTAGGATAGACAACTTTCCGAGTTTCAAGAACTCTTCTCTCCTCCCTCCCCGAGGTAACCAATCGGTATATTCGAGAAAATTACAATGAGTGAGATATTGGCTTAATTGTGTGTGATCGATCAAAAATTATAATACAAAATATATATCAAAAAGTGTTTAATATGAACTAGTGAAACAAAGTGTTGTACAAAAAATATATGCCTCGAAAGTAATTGGTGTTATTCCAACATTATTAATAATAAAATATCTTAAACGACTTATGTTATTTGAAAATATTCTACGCATTATAGGATAAGCAGTGAGAATGTGATTTTACTTCACCTTCGGAAACACGGATAACATATCAATGTTTTCCCGCGTCAAATGTATGTGGTGTCGCGCGCATGCGCGATAAAATTCACGTGGTCTAATCTTTCGCGCCAATATTGCCAGTCGTATGATCGCAGCAGAACGATGATTAGGGTTCGGAAAGTTTCGGCTTTGTAAAAGAAGAAAAAGAAATGTCTTTCTATCCACACCAGAGAGTACACTTTTAAATCTTCTTGCAATCACTCGTCCTTCCGCACAACATTCGCTCTATTCACGAAAATTTACCACGATTAGTCACTTTACACATAATGATGATCTCGATGATTTTCACTTAATGAAGCGGCACTTCTTAGGTTAGGTCACACATTCGATTAAATTATTTTGTTGAGTTATATTTTACAAACACAATATTTGTTTCTTGTGTAATTAATCGATCATGTTCGTTCGTGTGTTTGCAGCTTATTAGCTAAGGACAAGGGTGGTCAAGATATGGAAATTGATGACACATTGGGTTATTGTGGAATGAAGACATTAATTTCACATGAATGGCCGGAAGCAGAGCTCAAGAAGTACGATTATAATAAAGAAAACGCCTCTAGCGGCGGCTCCAGCAATTCATACAACCGCACCCCGCAACGAGTAAGAATATTTTTACTTTTTAAATAGATAAATTTATTTATGTGTATACTCTTGAATAGCATAGGGGATCCTTGTCCATATTTTATTTCAAACATTAAGTTCTCGATGAATTTTGCAAATTTCTCTACAGTCCTGAGGTCCTTAGTAAAAAAGTATTTGATAAAATAAACATCCATCGATAACAATTTTTGCGAAAAATTTTTTTTAGTTATGTTGGAGGCTTTACAAACATTAACAACCAATTTGATTGTCAATAAATTGAGTTAACAATAAATTAATTTAATTATTTATGTGAAGAGAGATATTTTAATTTTAGCAAAGGAATAAAATCAGAATAGTATTACATAATTAGAGAATGAGATGGAGTGAGATGAGAATAAAACAATGTAACAATGTAATGTTTGTAACAAGACATATCTGTATATGTATATATATATACTTATAATTTAATATGGAATATTTAATCTCTAACAATTTTTTTGCGATGTTTCTCTCGCGGTGTGTGATTTATCTTATCGTTCAAAAGCTGATCTTAGAACTAAGGCCAAGCTCTGATATCGACCGATGTATCTCGCTTTCAAATTTGAAACTTAGTTATTCAAGGGCATCTGTGATCGCGAGATTGGGAGATTTTTACACATTCCATACATATTCAATTCAATTCTGGAAGACGTATGTTGTAGACGTATTCCAAAAATAGATAACGTTCTTTTTCGATAATGTCCTCTAAACTTGAACGACAAGAACCAACTCACGTGCCGAATACGCAATCGTGCAGCTGCCGTTTATCACCAGCGAGATTGATTTTAAAGATGGTAGGAGCGACGTGTGACTTAATGCTTAGAATGTCCGATAGCAATTGACGATACTGGGTTCAAACCCGATCTTCATCCCCTGCGTATTTACGAGATTTTAAATCGCGCTAATTTTTTTTTTTTTTTTTAGCTTAATTTTTGAGACTAAAATTCGAAATTAAAAGTACGAAAAATAAATAAAATAAGTTAGAAAAAAGTCCTTATCCCGGAGGACGCCATCTACTGAACTTACAATTCATAAATTGTGATGCCGTAATCCATAAGTGGATTGGAAATCCGTAAGGGGACGAAAATTCAATTCATTCATTTAACGGTGATGATTTACATCGACCGATTGCAGATAACAGATCGCTTTACCACCGGAAAAGAAGAATAACAGGGAAATTATCTCCTCTTGAATTATTCCGCATATCGGTCTTTGATTTTTTTTCATAATACATGCGACACCTTGCGCATTCGATAATGACCTGTGTCAGTTCGATTGGTGGCTACCTGCTGTGCATTTACCTGCACCTTTTCTTTTCTCATTCGCTTTTGAGCAGTGATCGCATCTAGTGATCTGCTACCACGTGCTTCCGTCCTTCTTTCCGGCCTTCTAATAATCGATAAAAATCACCGGAAACAGATTTTCTTGTAACGGCCATTAGTTCAGCTTTTATTTAATTATTATACGAGTTGATAAAATGTTGAGGATTTTTTTTTTTGTGTTTCATCAAGTTTACGCTGAAAAAGCCAGTTTTAGATCACTAAATCAGATCGTCAATAGTTTGATTTATTTGTAAGATCACGCCTTACTGGATTAGATTTTTGTATTAAAAAATTCATAAAAGATTTTGTATACCAGACGAAAATGCAAATACATGGGTATTTGCTCATAAATTGAACTGCATCCAATATGTACAGCCATGCCAAGCTGTGAAATGTCACAAATGGACATCTCTTGTAGCTAAATGATGTCGCTAGATGAAAGAATTTTTGAGCATTTCCTAAAGACTGATACTTATGCTGTGATTAACTAATTATTTCTCAAGCCTCTTTCTTTTTATTGTTGTTTAATTTTCTTTAATTCTGTTTACCACTTAATAACCACTTCTACTCGTTTAGAGATCAATCAGTGTCGTATTTCCTAATTCGAGAATAGGATTCATACAGCAATTTTTCCTAAAATAGTTGGAACATTTAGATTCAAACTTTGTGAAACATCTTATATTTATTTTTGTAAATCTTTGTTTTTATATGTTCCTTCTAAAAAATTTCGTCTTCCTTTCAAAAAATTATAATGATTTTATTGCTTATCGTCGTATTTTTTTCCTGTTTAGACGCGCTGTAGGAAAGTGCGACATCCTTTGGAAAATTATGAGGAGAACAGCCAAGACAGCGGCCATGGGTCGAGTCCTGTCAGCGACAAGGAAGAGAAGCGACTTGAAGATTATGTCACTTTCGCAACTGTATCGCCTCATTGTCATTTACAATGCAACACATTCTTGGGAAAACCATTCGCTTCAGCTTCTCTCTATCACCCGAGTAAAAAAAACTCGATCACCGCTGAGGATAAGATCTTCCTGCGTAGTCTATCATCAGGATACGAGAGTATGGACGACGGGCTCACGAACGAGCTCATCGATATGGAGACCATGGATGAAGAGACACAACTACCGACCGGTATTTCGAAGCTACTATCCGGTGACATAGTCGCGCCCGAGACATCAACAGATTATGACGTTTCGCCGACTTCCAATTTTTCTCGAAGTATGTCACCTAAAATCAAAATGTGGTTATCGCTGAACGGAAAATACAGGCGGAACATCAAGACAGTATCGTCGCCATTGTTGAAATCGCCAACGCAGACGAGATCACCGTTGATGATAAAGTCGCCATCGTTATCGAAAATCCGTACCTGTCTGTTTCGTTCACCAACGGCTGCCTGTTCGACTAGAACGATGATGAGGACGTGCAGCTATGATACCACAACGAACTATTACACTTCACCAAATTTTGCCAGGTCGTACAAACGGCCGTCAGAAGATTTACTGGAGAATGATACATCGATATTAAAACGATCACGAAAGTCTAATAGTTTGTATCTGGACACAACTCCCGTATCGGCGAGGCACTTTAGTGTTTTGCGTCCAAAACCCTCTCTACAGAGAAGTTTATCCGAAACTGAAACACACGCGAATATCAAATGGGCAGTTCATCGCAGCGTCACTGACACCGATCTCATCGGCGACTTCAGCAAGCCGTGTATACTGCCACTTACGATAAGTCAACACTCGGATCTGAAGACCATTACATCTGAAACGTTGGCGGCGCTCTTACGAGGCGAGTTCACCGATCGTATTAGCTCCTATAAAATCATCGATTGCCGATATCCATACGAGTACGAGGGAGGCCATATCGAGGGAGCGTTAAATCTCTACAGCATAGATCTCATCAAGCAGAACATGCTTGATCACCTGAATTGCACTGTGCCCAGGATTCAATCCGATACCGACAAGCGCGACATACTCGTGTTTCACTGTGAATTCTCTCAGGAACGTGGGCCGAATCTCTCGAGGACACTGCGCAGGCTGGATCGCACGTGTAACAAGGAGTACTACCCGGCGTTGTACTATCCGGAGATTTATCTTCTGCAAGGAGGCTACAAAAAATTTTACAGCGAGCAAAAGGAATTCTGTTCGCCGCAGGATTACAAATCGATGAAGCATCCCAATCACGAGGAGGAATGTCGATTTTTTCGCAACAAGAGCAAAAGTTGGCAGGGAGACAAGTCCAAAGGGATTAGCCAGACAGTGCGAGTAAACCTCGAGCATTTAGATTTTTGAACGGACATTTGTTGTTTTTTATCTGTATTTGATCTAATTTAAGTTTCCTTAATCCCTATCGTACTAGTCGCGAATCGTTAGACGTTGAACGTTCTCAGATACGGTCGGGACATAAAACACGCGCACGCCATGCGCGTCACTAAAGTGCAAACGGCGTAAAGAGACTACTCGTTCTATTAATTTTTTTCTTTTTTTTCTTTTTTTTTTTTCTTTAATTTTCAGTCGTTCTTTGCGCTAACAATATGACTGACTCGATGAATTTTCTGCGAGTGTCTTGTACATGGTGTAAAATGTAGATGTAAATGTCATTCGAGCATTTTTAGATTCCAATCGATCTTAATACTTAATACTTAAAAAGAGTGATTTAACAAGATCGACGATCAATCAAGATCGATTAGAATTTGTGTTTAGATCTTCGATAATAATAACTTAGGCTATGGTGATACATCGTTGCGGCCTGCTACATACTTCCTACCAAGATTCAAATTTGTACATAAAAATTACAGAATCATATATTTCTCAGGTCATTCTGTAATTAAGGACAACAAACAATCAAATAATGCAATATATCCGCGTGTTGACCCGAAGTTATAGCAGGTTAAAAGACCATAATATCGCATTACAAATTTTTTTTTACGCCATCTCGGGTGGCATCTCATTGTATATAGTAAGACGTACGATTGAGACTTCAATGGCTTAAATCACATCGATCTCTCTCTTTTGCTATTGCTTTGCAAATTTCTTTAAAGCAAATATTTATGGTTGACTTCGCAAATTACATAAAGTGTTACCTATTCGTTGTTGCAATTCGATAAAAATATATTTTTAATATACGCACAAAAGATTAATTCTTAAATACTTACGTTGTATCGACACGATCTAATTGACGTTTCTTTCAATTGTACTTTTTCTTATAAAGAAGAATTAAAGAAACAGTCTCGTTCGTGTTTTGAGAAGGATTTAAATTTTATAAGATTTTAGTGTAAAATCTATTCTTTTCTCTTCTAAATTTCTCTTTAAAAAAGAGAATTTTTTGCTACGCAAGTGCTTAAGGATTAATCGATAACGACCAATTAATTCAAATTCTAATATCGAATCAAGCCAAGTGATGCAAGTATTACTAAATGTGCAAATTTTCTTTTTTGTTGTTACATTGTAAAAATTATTTTTACGTTACATAGATAAATATTTACGCCATGCAATACAAATATAATGCATTTTTTTCTTTTCGTATTCCTTTCGTCTATCTGATATCAAATATTTTACACCTCTCTTACATATATGTATATATACTCTTTTATTATTGATTTCTAACATTCTTTCAAATATTTTATGGTTATATATGCATTAGATAAGTCATTGCGATACATATTTTGAAAAAATTAATTTCATTATAAAATAATATTTGCAACAAACATCTGCAGAAACATTTCCTTATTAAAATATTACTGTTAAAAAATGACATGTCTAAATGTTACTGCTGCAATTCCGTGCACACCTTATCTCTCGAAAACAAAATGAAAACGCGCGCAATTATCTTCGTGATCGGTTTCTTATGGTTAATGAACAAATTTTTCTATCTATAAATTTTTATCAATAAATTTTTTTTATATCGATATTCCTTATCAAAAATTCGGTTAAATACTAAAGAAAAAAGACGAGACGCAATGGACAAGCGCACCTCCTCGACGGAAATAGCATCAGCGGAAACTGTCATCGTGAATAATACGCTTCAAAATCCAGAGTCTCAAAACTGCAAAATTCATAAATGTCACATTGAGAAGGATGCGCAGAATGGAAAAAGCACGCATGAAATGGAGAATGTATCCGCAATTTACGTCGAAACATCGGAGGAGGATGACGCCGAGGGATTATCGGGTGATAAACGAACGGAGATTCAACTTCCAATTGTAACAGATCAGATGTCAACCGTCGAAAGGGAATGCGCGTACTGTATTCCAATATATTTGTAAAATCTAAAAAAAAAAGAGAATTATTTGTAAAGCAATATTTCTTTTCCTTCCGAAAATTATGGATGTGATTTTGTTTAAAAGAAAATATCTCATGAAAATTAAGATCCTTGCGAACTTTTATGTAAATTTTTTATAATAAATTAAAGGGATAATAAGAACTTTGTATTAATTAAAAATTGATATTAGATGATTGATATTTGAAGAGAAATTTTATTTCGAGATTGGTTGATTGATGATGAAATCCGCTTAGCCGATTATTTAGTAACGATAAATGCTGGATTATCCGATATCAGCATGTTATCTGACAAATTCATTCTATCCTGCACTCTTTCTATTAATAAATGTACAAATGTAGAATATAATTTATCACGTTCTATTGATATTTTACGGTTTGAAAAAACGAAAGTATAAAAAAATGCAGTGCTATAATTTTTTTCTCTTTTTGATGGTGTTTTTTCTCAAATTAAAATTAAAATTATTGCCTGATATTTGCCTGATAGAAAATTATCCCTTTTGACAGATCTGCTCTTCATGAGCGTGCTCAAAAGCTTTGGTCGGAGATGACAAGTCTTCGGGAAAAACTGGACAAAGAGACAGCTCTTTGGAGAAAGGAGAAGGAGGAATTTCAGTTTTTACATGAAAGAAGCAACGCTCTTGCATTTGAAGAGGCAACCGCGCGAGCCGCGGCGGTTTACGTTGAATCGCCATTCTCAAACGATTTAAGTAACGATTATTTTAATATTTAATTAATGTTTTATATTTTGTGTTTTATTTTTTGTCTTATAAAACGAATTAAAAAAGATTCATAAAAACTTGTTTCAAAAAATTAAATCCGAATGAAATCTTAAGAGAACTAAATTTTAAATATACTTTTGAAAATAGACTTTTTTAACTACATTAGTTAATTAAATTTACATTTGTTTTTACCTCCTTGTTACATATGTTTCTGGTTTTTCTTGTATATTTTATGGCGAGCCATAGTATTTTTTATTAGCATAACAGATATAGATTGTATGCTTAATGTAAAACTCAAAGATTTATTATTTGAAGAAGAATTACAATCTTTATTGATAAATTAAAATTGCGATATAATAATAATAAAGAATTATTATTATGTCAGAATATAATTTTAATTTATTAATAGAGATATAAAATTTATATAAATTTATTAATAAAGATGTAAAATTTTAAACAATTATTCTTTGAGAATTTTCTTTTTGGCAATATCGTTATACTGTTAAAAAATAAAACGACTTATCATAATATTTCGATATAATTATCAAATATTCAGAATTAACAATCAACATTAATGATGAATTTAAAGGTAATATCATAAATATCTCGTCAGAAGGCAGCATACGAGAACTCGCGATACTCGAATACGAGAAAAATCTTGCCAAGTACCATGATCAGTACTCCTTCGAACAAGCCGAGCAACGTTACAACTCATACAAACGCATGCTCGCCGATGCCTATAAGCAAAAGCTGTTGGAGGTCGAGCGTCTGTGTGATGAGGAATTGGAGAACATACGGCAAAACGCGAGTTGCTTGCAGTCGTTCAAAGAGATCGCATCGCAATGGTCCCTCGACGAGAACGATCACGGTGATTCGCAGCGTAGTTGCGATCAACCAGACGCAGAGCTATCCAAGATTGTTGAGACAAGCCTAGGCAATGATTGGTGCATATACGGAAAAATTGATAATGAAGTTAATATGTTCCCGGAAATTTTATCCGCCCGTTTCAAACAAGAAGAAGCAACATAATATCTCATTATCATGCTCCTTATCTTTATTAATTATTATTGTTAATATTTTGTAATTATATATTGTACAACTTTACTGTATATTCTTTGTAAGAAGATAAAGCGAATATCTTTTTTTTTATCTATTACTCTGAATAAGCTGCGATACAATCACATATAGCATAACGATTTGGCAGTTCAAATCAAATGGGCAACAATCAAATCCAATTAAAACTTATTTTCACGCATTTATGTATTTAACGAGAAATGTACGTTATATACAATATTTTTTAAATATCGCTTTTGGTCTGAAAATTTATGATTTTTATTACTCGGGAATATATATAATTACGTTTATTTTAATAAATACTATCCAGATTGTCTATTACGACACAGATAAAGTAGATTAAAAATTAGTCTTTTGACATGAAATTTTTTTATTTCATTATTTATCTTTTATTAGAAACAATAAGAAGCGTAAACTTGGCGTCATTTTTTTAAAAAGATTGTTATTTATATCGTTGTATCGATTTGTGAATTATTGATAAAAGAAGTATATATTATTCTTTACCATCATACACTTTCCATAATTGACGAATATCATTTTGTTTAGCGCGAAGATATATATCTTCAACGTAAGATTTAGCTTCCTCCAATAAAATTTTACTCGACTCGATCCGTTTTACTACAGCAGCCAATTGCATCTGGACCAATAAAAAAATTCAAACAATATTAATTGAAAAATATGCTCATAATAATTTATATTACTTTTATTTTTATATAGCTAATTCAATTTTTGCGGATATCTTTTGTTTTTAAAGGAAAAAACATTTTTAAATCATCCTTTAACCTTTAACCATTTTACTTGATATGATTTTGATTGTATCGTAAACTATTGGAAGATCAATTTCAATCGATTTTAAATCATTTTCCTACTTACATCGATTTCCGTAGGCTTTGTTGGTAATCGTTTATCGTTCATGTATTCATCAGAGATATTTGTTAAAAATGAAAATGGTTCTCGTGGATTTTCTTTAATTCTACATAAAGAAGCTTGCAGTTCCTTGGATGACACATTATCGATATCATAAAAAGAAGCTTTTTTTGGTTTAAAATCGTATTCCATTTTTTCTTGAACTGTGAAATCTTGATTTAATTTACTGGTGACTTTTTGTTTTATATTTTCATTAATTGATAATTTATCGATCATATAGGGCAATGTCTCAATATTCATCTTTTCGTCAAAGATTCGGTATTCTGCAGATGATAAGGGTGGCAAGAACGTTGATACAGATTTAGCTTGAAAAGAACACGAAGAATTTATTCAATATAATTAATTCTCTTCAATATTTCTCTTCAAATAAATAAATAATTCATAATAACCGAGAGTTTTTCATCGATAGATGAATATAAACTTACCTATAGAATTCATATTATTAAAATGTAATTCATGAATACTAAAGATGTAATACTAAAAATAGTAAACAAATTCTATCAGAAGCTGAACAAAATGGTTAGCATCGCTGCAATTCACGTCTTACTCGTTTGATCAATATTATTTCGCGGAATATACATTGTGCATTGTGCATTGTGCCGCTAGCAGTTGATTCAAAATTATCTTCCATCTTAAGTTTTATCATTAGAGAATATTAATATCTTTTTGTTTATCATTGTGATATATTTTTCATGTTATACATTCGTCAGAATTATGCATGTTACAAATTACAATGTGGGAAATGTGAAATAAGTATGAAAACACGTATTTACAAAATGATCTCTTCGTTTAACTATATAGTCAAGCCAATACATACATACAAACAAAATGAGAAATAAACTCACGAAGATCTTATAACAAACTTGTTAGGCGTCGTCGATATTCATGGTTTTTAAGTTATTCGCATAGAAAGCTGTCACTTATAACACTAAAGTGATATATATAAATTGTCTACCAACAATATATAACTGCGCAATTACAACTATCCCACAAATATTAAAACTATCACAGTTCCTCCGGTTTTTTTTTTTTTTTTTTCGATATTTGAGACCGAGTTTCCTTAACCAAAAAAATGTGTAAAATTGATGCAAATAATATACTTACATTTGCATTTGAGAAAAGATGGATCATCGATCTCGATATTAGGATGGAAAAAAAAACGTTTAGAAACAGAACTCTCGATAATAAGAATGTAAAATATGATTTACATTTCTCTGGTTATTGCACGTAACTTGCATTATACTTCTGCATCCGATGTAATCCGTTACAAAGAAACTGCAAAACTAGCTACATGTGTATACGGTCCTTATATACACATGTGTGCGCACACACACGCGCGCGCGCGCGCGCGCACACACACACACACACACACACACACACACACACACACACATTATATATATATTTATATATATTACTATATGTATAAGTAGTATATCACAGATTAAAAGTAAATAAGTCTTGCATCTTCAGGATTTTGCTCCGCCGGGCAGTACGGACACTTCAACCTGGAAATAAATTGATTTCTTTTAAAAAGTGACTTTAAATCAGCACTTAGAGAACGCCAGTGTATCTCAGCCTTGCTGCATACGTGATACCTACTTATTCGCATTCGCAAGTTTGTTAAGCGCGTCTCGAGAGATCACGTGGCCGCAAACCAATTTCATCGGCGGATTATTCTCTGTACTTTGTTGCCTAAGTATCGGACACGCAAAAACAGAATGATAACGACTCTGCTTTCCCAAGTCTATTTCGATCTGCGGATGTAAAGAAATCGTTTTTAATCTATAAACATCCATAAACATGTATTCAAATGAGATATGAGTATACATGAGTATATATGTTACTTACAGGCAATTCATCTTTGCCACTCCAGATACCGGTAACTTGTCTCTGTTGCATGACTTGCTTGATATTCAACAGCGCAGGTAACGCAGTGCATCCTGCGTTGATACTGTAATTGAATGAATTGCAAATGCTTTATGCCTATTACTTTCCTCTAATTACAAGCATATAAGATGTATATACCAAACAGATAGCGGACTATCCACACTTAAACCTAGCAATGTACACGCTTCCTTAGTAAAAACATCATGTATCTCGAGCCATAAAGTTGGATCCAACAAATGACTATAAGGAGATGATTGGATTCCATGTGGCAAATAGAGTAATGTTCCCATCAGAGATTGTACTTCTTTCTCGTAACGTCCGACGAACTGTGTAAGATTTTGGCGGGCATATAGTATCGCTTCTCTCTGTTTACTAGGACCTTGTTGAACTAATCTTATAAAATGTAATCTGTGTAATTTAAATTCGAGAGATGAATTCTAGAAAAGAAATGAGATTTATAATGTATACAGTAATTGTATTAATTGCATCAATTAAGAAAAAAAAGGAATTGTGTGCATTTACAAGTCAGAAGCTACCTGCGCTAAAAGTGCTTCCCTGTGTTTTTTTGCCCAATCTAATGCTGGTTCAAGATTTCTCTGTTTCAGACAATCTAATATATAATTCAATTCCGTGAATGGTTCCTTTCTGCCTTCGTCGGTTTTAATGCCCGCTTCCTGTAAATATTATCAGTTACAAAATTATATGCAATTATATATGCAAAACATAATAAATATCGATATAAAAAACACTAGAATAATGGCATTGCAGTACTATTAAATGCTACGGATATGTTGAGTAGTGAATTTATTGAATAATGAATATTGAATAATTCAGCATTTATTGCTACCAGATAATCAAATAATCAGTTTTTATCTGACAATTAAATGAAGAAACTGAAAATAACTAAAAATTCCACTGTTTCTTATCCACTTTTAAAAAAGCATGTTAAATTGGTGGTCGAATTTTATAATTCCTTTGGAATATTATCTTTTTAATTAATCAATGATCAAACATTGATATAAAAGTTAGGTTGACCAAACATTTGATGACGTATAAATAATCCATATTTTATTTAGCATCTTGTTAAGTATGAAATATTTATATCAATATATACAAAGTATATATATTGCATATCCTTATTAAATATAAGATTAATTTGTAAATAAAACATAAATCTAATTTTATTTTAATTATATAATTAAATTAATTTTTATCAAGCATGTTAAACACATAGATTTGGTAAAGGAGGGAACTTACTATTGCTAATTCATCAGCAATATCTAGCATCCCTTGACGATAAAAGTGTTGACAGATTACTTGATTCAGGAGATGAGACTTCTCAGTTCCAGAAAATACATCTTCCCTGCTAGTACTGGCAAAATCAGCGATGAAATTTCTATCTATCGCCTTACCCACTTTGGATACAGTACTATGCAGATCGCGATGATCCGTTGCTAATCTTTGTACTGTATCGCGTACTTTCGTCATAGCTTGCTTCAACATCTGTACCTGGGCAGCTGTCAGATCCTGATTGGCCGGCGCTAATAACAACAACAATATATTGTATAATAATGTAAGTGCATATATGTTTGTATTGCAACTGTGTGTAAAGCACATGAAACTAGGCTGGTGGTGCAAAATTAGTACAATATGTGATTAGAAATTTGTTCAGAGGTTAGTTCATTAAGCAAACAATGGACACACTTGTTAATAAATGAATTCATCAAAATATCGGTTTGATCCTCCAAAAATCGTAAGGGAATGAATGTAAAATTCTCGAATCGCGAGACTTGATTGATTAACAGGCGCTTCTAGGAGATCGAGATCAGACAAGGATTCCAGGATCTAGGAACGATATATCGTTCTCTCAGGTCTATCTGATACCTTCTTCTAAATCCTTTTTCAAAGACTGAATGTGATTTATCAAGTCGCGCAGCACCGTCTCCGCATGTTCATTTATAGCACCGAATTTCGATAGGACTTTATCCACTTCGCGCTCAACAGCATTACACGCCTCCATTGTTATTGCTTTGTATATCAGTCCTCGCGATTGACATTTGCACGAAGAGAAGAGAGCCACGAACCGCGACGTTCCAGGCGACGTATTAAGCTAATATCTCATGTAACCTACAGACGATATTGACTATCTCATTGGTTGTTGGGGCACTAATTTCTTATCGCGTATATGTGACACAGCCTGTAATTGAGATATTCCACAAAAATAATGAAATGTATCATTTTTATAAATGTTTCTATTTTTTAATTAGAAACATTGAGTCGTGAATTGAAAAATTCATAATATAGAATATTGAATATATAATTATTTAATATAACATATTAACAATTAATATGATTTAACATAATTATTAAATATAATAAATTATAGTAAAATGTAAATATAAGCTTCTTTAAAATAAAATGTATGTGACATCATCCAATTAATTCTGATGTTATATTTTCGTGAGAAGAAAAGAAGACATAAATACGATATGTTTTGGGTAATTAGGACAATATTATTTTGTATTACCAATAAATTTTTTCTCACACACATTACATTAAAATTTTTGCATATTTAAATAATTATAATGAATATTTTATATACAAATTATCAACATATCTTCATCTATTACATAATTAACATTATAATATATTATAATTATCTGATTATAATTATAATAATCCCACTTTTTGGAAATTATTGATATATATAAAATTTCCAAAAAGTGGGATTGATATATGTATTGATATATGTATGATAAGTAATACATACATACATACATACATACATACATACATTCATGTGTGTGTGTGTGTGTGTGTGTGTGTGTATATATATGTATGTATGCTACTATTTTCTCTTTTTCATTTTTATAATTTTACATCTATAATTATACATTTTCGTTAAAAATAACGACGAAGAATGGATGCATATTCTTGAAATCAGGAGTTTCTACAATAGAACATTATTGTTCAATGGGATGGCCCTGTAACAAAAAGAGATGTATTTAATTTATAAATAATAACTAAAAGTATATACCAATTACATATATTTCCAAATAGCCATCTCATAATAATAGTGAAGTAATTCCCAATCAATTCAGTATTTATATGCAACATCAACTACTTTATCTTTAATATATTTGACTTACCCATTCTCGAGCCATAACCAATATGGTTATATTTTCTAATTTTGGTCCAATCAATGGATTCATCTGTGCCATGTAGCAGCACAGCCAGCTGTATACAAATTTTATTTAAATATTAATTACAAATATATAAATTGAGACGATCAAAATGCTACAAAAATATGTTATACTTACAATAACCAGCATGTGAAGCCTGTCAAGACCAATAGAACTTGAAGTATCCTAAATATAAATATAAATATTAATGAATATAATAAT